AAATGAAACCCATAATATACATATAAGATTATAAATATTCAGTACGTAGGCCACAATAAGATGCAATGCATCAAATCAAGATTTAGCTCACATATTTCTTGAAGTTCTGTAATAATGTTCCTGGAGGCCCGCTTACACCAATCCTTCACGGCCACTTCATCCAACAAAAATGCAATGACAGGGTCACTTGATACAGCACTCTCATCCATACAAACATCCCTAACATCTAAACTTATTGTGAAGGAGATCACAAACTTTAAACAATAGAATAATTGGTTAGTAAGCAGAATATGATGAGAATTCAAACACAAATTAACGAACTAAGAATATAAGTGTTTTGCTTCAAGAGGGTGTGATTTTTAAAGGCCTCGCCTGCAAAAGAAAATAAAGAGAGATAGTGAAACCATAAAGTTTCGAAGTAAGTTGAAAAGGCAACAATATCAGAACTGGATAACATCTACGTGAAATGCTAGCAGAATAATCAAACTGCAAAGGATACAGTGACAGATTAGAGAAACCATGTTATTTTCCAGCGCAACATCAAATAAGGAATACAAGCGTTGAACATCTGTAGATATTCTATCCTCCCCATCTTCCTCCTTAGAAGCCTGTTCCTTGGAATTCTTGGGAATGAGACCAGCTTCAACACACTCATAAAAAAGACGAAGATGTGTTCTAGCACTGCTCTTCGGAACTGGGACTCTACATATTGGGCAAGTATCACAACGTTGACAACATTCTTCACACAGAGAGGCATGTCCACATGATTTCAACACATACTGAACATCCCGTCCACAGCTTCTCAAGTCTCTTGTGGCCCGACAATGCTCAACTTTTGCTTCATTGCATAACTCGATCAGATCAATAGATGCCAGATGTTTCAGCGCTTCCTAGAATTGAAAATATAACAAAAACAATTCGAAGAGGGAAAAAATCAGTCCACCGCCCAATATATATGACTACTTAAATATCTATCTGGTCAGACAAGTATCATTTAAGAAGAAGGAACCAAATACAATTACCATGAATTAATCAAATCTACAAACACAAAAGTTCGACAGAATGTCAATCATTTTTTATACACGACTTAAGAAATTCTGAGCAAAAGTTGCTCTACGCTCTTCGGCAGCAACTGTTAAGTTTGGAAATGACACCGTAGCATCCGGATAGAAAAATCAAATCACCAACAAGGGAGAATTCACCACCGTTCTAACTAGGATAACTAGGGTTTTCACAGCATTATAACACAAAAACATAAACTAGTAGAATGAAACGAGTACCTGTACTGCTCGGCTACTGTAATTAGGTTGCAGAGACGAAGAAGTAGACGCTAAAGCAGCCCTGCCATTAGTAGATGTCGAAGGAACGGCATGTCCGTCAATTTGCCTATCCATTAAAGCGGAAGCAGAAGCGAAAAATTCTCTCCGAGAGTTGAGGACGAAGAACGAGAGTGAGAAAAGTTGAAGCTAGGGCTTGGCAGTGGAGGAAGCCATTACAGAGGTTCAAGGTTTTGAAGCTTCCAAAGTTCCATGTGCAAAAAAAAAAAAATTGGAGGGCTTTTTCGGGAGCAGAAAAAATAAAAAATAAATTTTTTTTTTTTTCAGGCCATCGTTTTCCGGAAAAAATCGTATAGAACGAAAAATCTAAATGGGCCGGGTTCAAACCGATTCACGTAGACGGGCCCATTGTTATCACCGGCCCGCTAACATTTTTCTTTTTTGGAATCTTGATTCCGTTTTATATTTTTAAATTCACTAAATTTTATTTGTTTTCAAAAATTATTTGTTAAATATTTGATCCAAATAGTTAAAATTTGACAGCAACATTATTTATTTATTTCGTGTACTCACATTTTTTTAATAAAAAAACATAATTACATTAGAAAAAAAAAAAAGATAAAAACATTGAAACACATAATATTTTGCCTTAAAACTTATTTCATTGTCCTTAAATTAAAATTTCAATTATATGATATTACAAAATAATAATACTTTTGAGCATATTATATAATATGGTTGAAGACATAAGATTACATATATAATATGATCCCATTAACGAGCCAAATATTTGTATACATTATTATCAATTTGTTTTAATATTAGTTGGATTCACATGTGACACAATTATAAATTTATAAAATCTATAAAATATTTAAATAAATCAACCACTCGTTCATAGGAGCATTGTCAATTTAAGCTAAATCATTTCCGTATATTAATTTGGTCAAATTGATACGGATTATAATAAAATAATAATTTTAAATTTCCACCGTCGGATATAAAAAGTTGACTGATTCGGACTCTGTTGCATCGACTGAAAAAAAATATAAGAAAAAATATTTGTATATCTAATTGTTATTATTTTTGGAATATGATTGGTATCTTTTATTGAATTAAAGGAAGGGATTTAATTCTATATCAAACATTTAATGAAATTTCCCAACAATGAACGCTGGGCCCACCTCCTTCCGCGTCGAGGAAGCTATGCTGATGGAGACGGTCAACCGTCAACTCCAAGCTCCAATTTCATGCTCAACTATTGTTAGATGAACACTTATTTATGATATTGTCCACTTTGAATATAAACTCTGATAACTTTGTTTTATACTTCTTAAGAGGTCTCATTCCAATGGAGATAGTATTTCTTAATTATAAATCCATGATCATTTTCTAAATTAGCCGATGTGAGACTTTCATCATCCAACACCTCCCATCGAACAAAGTACGCCTCCCCTTAACCGAAGCTCAACTCCTTTTTCTTTTAAAGTTCTTTGTTCGACATTTGAGGATTTACAAATCTATTGGCACGACTAAGTTTAGAGCATGACTCTGATACCATGTTGAACACGACTCTCCACAATGGTATGATATCGTCCACTTTGAGTATAAACTCTCAAGGTTTTGCTTTGGGCTTCCCAAAATGCTTAATTTCAATGGAGATAGTATTCCTTGATTATAAACCCATGATCATTCCCTAAATTAGCCGACGTGAGACTTTATCATCCAACAACTATATCAATTAATTTTTTTAACTTTTTTTACGAGTGAATTAATTTAGATTTTTTTAATCGATAATTTTTTAATGAAGATTTTTTTTTTTAAATAGTGTAGAATCGATTAACTAAAACCCTAAATTCATTAATTTGTGACACTTTGGGAGGTCGAGGTAACATAATTGCACGAATTTGTCTTGGAATCTAAAAATTGAAGATCGAGAGTTCAGAGATGAAGAAATTTAAACTCGATAAAATACAACTTTATATTTTTTAACTAGATCAATTTACAAATAGAAGAGGTATGAATAGAAAGCATAATTAAATATATTTAAATTAATTGCTATACTTAATTTAGTCTTAGATTGGTATGGAAATAATTATTAATTTGAGATTTGGAGTTTAATTATATATTTATGCAAAATGTCAAAAGTACCCAATATGTAGTGAATTTAAGCGAACGTCACTTAACGACGAAAGATAAAAGGAAAATTCAGCATCGACGGGTCACCTCGGCTTCTGTAATTCACCAAATAAAACAACCATTCCAAGGGTACTATCGTCATTTTCTCTCTTCGTATTTTAGGGAGGATGCCAGAGTTTCAGAATTTTCCGCCCTTGTCAGAGAAACCTCACATAACAAATTGTTTATATTATCCTTTTTTATGTTTATTTTTTTATTAATATTAAAGCATTATTCTTTTTTATTCCAATTTTCGTATTTTAATCTTTTAAAATTTGAAGTTTTGTTTTTTAATGCATTAAATTTTCAATTAGATTAAATTGTATTAATAAATTTAAACCCAACATATTATAATTTCGAATAAAGTAATAAAAAATTCAAATATTCATTATTACCAATTGAAAATTTAGTAAATGTGTTTGAGATGCCTTTCATAAGTATTTTTCTTTTCAAGGTTTTGTTTAAATTGAGGAAAATTGTAAAAGTGTCTGTAATCCTTTAAATAATTGTTTTATTTTCAGGTCTATATTTTATTCATTCCATAATTAACTCTGATTTTTAATAAAAAAAAATTCAAAACGTCATCATATATGAAAATGACTAAAATATTGATACTAGCGTGAAATTACGATAAAAACACTATAAACAGACTCGGAATCAAATTGGTATAGATTTAATAGGTTTAAAATGACATAAATGAATCCAAAATTAAGATTTTGGTTGTATATGGTAAATCTCCAAACGTGTCTGGAATCACCTAAACCAAAGAACCAGGTACAAAAATGGAGCTTCTTACCAAAGTTTCTCCAATCCACATTTCTAACCAATTTCCATCACTTTTTTTTTTATTTATTTATAATTTTAGTCATTGAATCCGCGAGTATAATGGGTCCAATTTAATTCATATGGGTTGATACTATTTATGAAATTTTGATAAAATTATAGAAATTATTTTTGAAATTTTATAGATTTATAGAAATTATTAAATTATAACATTTTTCTTTAATCAAAATTGCAATTTAAAATAATGCCATCAAATTATTTGTTTATTTGACTAATTAATAGTGGTAAAATATTAAAAGTTACGTGTCATGTTCTCACATGAGTTTAAGTCATCGTCAAATGATGAATAAAAAAATTCAATAATGATGTACACGAATAAAGTTGGAGGAATCTTTTGAACCAACCCAAAATTTCGCTTTAATTGGGTGGATGGCCCGAACAATGTAAATAGAGTTTATAATTCAACCCAACGTGTTATTTAATATTGAGTCGAATTATTAAGTTTTTAAATTATTTAAAAAATTAAAATTTTCATACATGTTATTTTAATAATTTAAAATTTATAAAATCACTCAATTCAATAAAGACTTTAAAATTAAAAGAAAAAGATCTATAAATTTATTAAATAATTTAAAATTCATAGATTTATCAGAGTAATTGGAAAGATTAAGATTGAATTTTAATATAATGTTATTGAATATTAATCCTTGTGGCATGAATATAAAGAAAGGGTAGGGGTAAAATCGTACAAACGTCAGGCAAAAAACCGTGGACGCAGAACGAACTGCGTCTCTGCATCTCTCATATATGTTAGGCGAACACGAAGCCCATTACACATTTCACACCAAAAAAAAAACTCAGTCTCTCTTTTCTCTTGCCGTTCCTCCGTCTCCACCGCGCACGGCGCTTCCGTCCTGTGCCGTTGATCATCTCTTCTTAGGGATCATTGATCTCTAGAAGCCACTCAAGTTCGTCTCACGAGGCTTTGTAGATACAGATTGTGAAGGTTGTTTCCGAAAACGGCGCCGAGGAAGAAGTATTCTGTGTTTTTACGACGATTTGTCGATAGAGATTGTGGAGTTAGTGGGATTTTCAATGGCTACAGGGCCGGTTAAGTCTCATCCTTTGCACAACTTCGCTCTGCCATTTCTGAAATGGGGTGGGAAGAATCAGACCAACAGTAATCACCGCATTCGGCGGGAAATTGGCGGCGACTCATCACCTGCCGTCGATCATTCTGAACCGGAGTCTGAAGCAGACTCCAAGCATCAACCTCGAGTTGGATCGCGCACCGCTCGGAATAGATTGCCGTTTTCACCATGCTCACTGGGAGATAAATCCGCGAAGCATTCTGAAGGTGAGGTCGGAGAAGAAGTTGTGAAGGAGCAGAAGCGGGAAGGTGAGGAGGTCGAGGGGGAGGAAATAGTGCAGAAGCCTTGGAATCTCAGGCCGCGGAAGGGCCCGTCCTTGAGAGGCTTTGGTGATTTGAAGAATGGACGAGACTTGCAAGAACAGGACGGGGCTGTTTCTTCCGCTGCTGGTGCGTTTCAGCAAGGGGAGAATCCGCAGCCGAAATCGCTCCGGTTGCGAGGATTTACAGAGTCGCATAGGATTGAGAAGAAGGAGAAGAGAAAGTTCTGGATCGCTTTGTCTAAAGATGAGATTGAGGAAGATATTTTTATCATGACTGGATCTAGACCTTCCAGACGGCCGAAGAAGAGACCTAAGAATGTTCAGAAGCAACTCGATGTATGAATTTTCCTGAAATTTCTTACTATTTCTTTTCTGCTTGTGATTGTACTGAAGCGGTTTCGTTATTATTTTTTCTTGATGCTCAATGTATTGTTCGTCTCTCAGAGTGTGTTTCCTGGACTGTGGTTGGTCGGTGTTACAGCAGACGCCTATCGTATTGCCGATTCTCCGGCCAAGGTACTCTAAAAGACTTTTCTTCTTGCCCACAATTAAATGCAATTCCGATTTCCGCCATTTCATTGAATTCTGAACACGACGGTGCATTAATGTTTCTTCATTTCTTCGATTTCGTTTTTCAAACATGACAAACTATCGATTTTTCGTTTTCCCACACGCTTTGGTTTTTGTTGTTGCAGAGATAGGCATGATGACGATGGATATTTTTTGATCATTGAAGTTGGAATATTTTGCCTGCCCTGCCTTGATTGGGAGCCTTGTTGGAGGTATACCGTTCTTACTTCTAGGAAGAAGAAACGAAATTACGATTCAAATTGAACACGTGGGAAATCCAGTTTTTCTGTGTTGTTGTTCCTACTTGTAATAATCTCTCTGGTCGATGAAAGGGCAGGTTTTAGCGTTAGTTTTCGACTTGGTACTTTTATTATGAAAGTAGAGGTTAGTACGTTGAATTGAATCATATTATAAGGTTTTGTTATTAAAGCCTTCTGTGATATAGTTTGGAATTTTATTGCTCATGTGGACAATTCTTATTTAGTTGATCAATCATAATGTTTGACAGGCTTCCCTAGATTGCTGGGGACTAGATTTTCAAGAGCTTGGTTTCTTATGCAATTGCTATATCTTGTAGCAGGCAGTCCATTCTTTTTCAGATAGATCTTTCACTCGCATTCTTCAAGCTGATGCTGATGGTGATATTTTTCCATCCTTCCTTAATGTTTTGCGATTTTTGATCGTTCTTACTGCATTTGAATGGCTGAAAGCAGCTTCTTGCGAGTCAGTTTTTGCACCAAATCTTTTTCTTGCTAGTAAAATGCTGATAGTACTTTCAAGTTCTGCACCATTTTTTTTTTTTATATGGGGACTTCGGGATATCTGAGCATTAATTTCATGGCCTTCACTTTTTTGTTTTCCTTTTACTCAAATCCTTTTGTGGGTTTGCCTTCAAATACTGATTAATTTAGTTGTTTTGGCCTTAATTTTGATTGGAATTCCAAAAATCTCAAAGTGTTCATTCTTCTGTTTTGTTCTGCATGTTATGAGAGGCTAGGCAGCTTTCGTATAAAAATTTGTTCTTGAAGACTGCTCTCATCTTAGTTAACACTTTTGTTAATTGCTAATCTATAAGATGCCGTGTATGTTTTCATGTCTGTAAATCATGGTTTCTGTGGTTTTGGTGAAAGACAAACCCTTTTCTGTATCCCTTGTCTGTGAGTATTAACAATTCTCTGCTTGAATTTTTCTTCCTTTGAGAACCTTAATGAACTTATTTGGTAGAGAGATTGAATCCCTCAGTGATAGATAAGGAGAACAATTACTCTTAGATGCTCCAATTGATACTTCTATTGCAGGATTTACTTGTGAAGTTGGTTCCAACTGATGTATAATAATTGAAATTGGGGATTTTACTTCCGTTGTTCCTTCTTCGTTGTGTGCCAATAATCCCAACCCGATTTGCAGAAACAAACATTATCTCTATAATTTACTTTGGTATACTCAGTTTCATTACCTACCATGCTTGTTCATGTCGTTGGTCTCTTCGTCCTAGCTGCAGCGGAGTGCATAGGATCACTCTTGAAGAATGAAGGGGTACTACTAAAACAATCTCTGTGTGTGCGCGTGTGTTTGGTAGGGGTTTGGTTAGTTGGTTGTGCTTTCAATTTCTGATCTTTAATTGCCATTGATTGATTTGGAAGCAAGCCTGAACGGTTCTTTACTCCTTGATCAGATTTATCTTTCTTGAATACACACGTGTAACGACCTCAATTGACTAAGGTTATTACTACTTGTATGCTAGCAATTGAAAACTTGAAAGAATCTTATAAAAACGTGAAATGACTCAAATATTGATGCAAATATTTTGAATTTGTTATTCATGAACATCATTCTTTTAGCATAATTGACATTTATCTGAAATGCGTGATATGACTTTAATATAAATAGAAAAATTAATTAGGTTGGCTGAATTGAATAAACTTTCCAATTTAGGTAACTACAATTCAACTCATCTTGAAATTGAATGTAAAGGCTTCTAACTCATGCTTACCTAATATCTTCGTCACATCTAAAAACTTAGTTGGATCAGTTTGAACCCTTACATAAAGGGATATAAAAGGTTAGCAATCATTCATTCAAAGACATTTCTATTGAGTCCGAATGAGTAAAAAAAGAGTTGAATGCTTGCTGATTTGAGTTCATAAAGATTCCAGTTTGTTTGTTCAGGTTGTGGGTCATAACCAAAGGCCATCAATCTGCCAAAAAATATGTGGAAGACAATTACGTTGTCGTCCAAGGACACCAACATCGAACGTCGTTGCGGAGAATGGCTATAAAACCCCAATCGCTAAGGTAGTCTATAGCGACTGTTTACGTGGATCTTCTACAAATCGAACATATGTGGGCGAGAGATGGAGCGCCACACTGCCACGTGGATCGAGAATTTAAAGCTACGACATTGCCGCTGTTCATCGAAGAAGACGTGCAATGTCGTGTGTTCATGGGCGAGTCGCTTATGGCATTGTCCAAGTTCACGACGTCGATGAGAAAACTGAAGTAACTGAAAGAGGGCGTATACTACTGGTATACATCGCTGGCTGAAGAAGACGACTTCTTTGGAGCATGAGCTGCGGTCGCCAGAGAGCCGGGAGGGGCTGTTGAGGATTATTGAGAGTGAGTCCCACATTGGTTAATTTGGGTTTATAAGTGAAGAATACCATATCTATTGGTATGACGCCTTTTGGGAAAGCCCAAAACAAAACCACGAGAGCTTATGTTCAAAGGGGACAATATCATACCATTGTAGAGAGTCGTGATTTCTAACGGAGGCTGGCCGGCAACTGGAACCTCAAAATAGTGATATGAATATTGCAAAAGAGTCGAGTAATATCCTTAAAAAGGACATTTTTATAATATGAATAATGCAAAAGCTTTGTCTGTATTTGAATATTATAAGGTTGTTGATGGTATTCGATTGTAGCTTGAAAGCTACTACTTCCTGTAAGCTAAACTCCAAGAAACATGCTTGCTTTGTAAACCAAATTGAAGAGGTTGCTGCTGTTCCTCCTCCAGATAAGGCACAATGTACTTTTTTGCATCACTGTACGAGATTCCAAGATGACCTCCTTCAACTTTTATAAACTGGACTCTTCCACCTTCATCTAGCCTTCTCAATCCAATCCAATCCTCTATGTAAAGCTTTGTCTGCACCAAAACAATCATGGTGTTAAGACACCGCAACGTCACCGTGCCTAAAACGTGTGCGTGTGCGTGTATGTGTGCTGTGTGTTTTTCAATTCTTAGCCAAGATCTGGCATTGCTATGACATCCAAAATGTTGTACCTGCTGTGGGGGTAAAACAGGCTCAAACTCCCCGTCCGGGTAATACCCGAACCACGCCGTTTCCTTTGGGACCAGAACCTTATCATCCTCAAACTATTGAAACAGTGAGCCAAACCAAAAATATATGACAAAACAATAACACTATAAATTTGCATCAGCTTCTCCATACATCAAACTTACCATTATTAGCACCAAGTTCTCTAAACTACTAAATCGTTCCTTGTACGTCGAGTTTCTGGCATCGGGACGTTCGTTATTAAGCTTCGGGAGAAACTTACAGTGCTCTAAATAGTTGGGGATATCCTGAAAAAGAAAAGAAGGATCATTGAGAACTTGGAGATGTACAGAAATCATATCTGGGTTTGTAAACAAATATAACTCACATTCGGTATTTTAATATAACCACTAGGAGCCAAAGAATTCTGCAAGACAATAATAAGAGAACGTGTCAAGACTTCGATTTTGTAACGGCCCAAGTCCACCGCTGGCAGATATTTGTCCTCTTTGGACTTCCCCTCTAGAGAGAGGTTTCCACACCCTTACAAAGAATGTTTCGTTCTCCTCCCCAACCGAGGTGGGGATCTAACAGATTTGTTGACAATTTTCACAAAACCATAGAGTTCAAGGAAGCTCGGATATGGTGACGTACTTGGACAGCATCTGAGTAGATACCTAACTTCATTATGTCGTCTGCAAGTATGCACCAAATGCCAGACTGCAAATATATTCAAGGCCTTCAGCAACAGAAAATGTAACCTATTCCCATGAAGATGGAACACAAGAACAGTTCTTACACCACAAAGTGGAACAGAGGCTATGCCAGCATGAGGACCGCCTAAAGAGATGAAGTTCTTAACCTATTCCCATGAACAGAGAAGCAACAAATTAGATTCAGTGCATATCAGGCTGATAAACACCAATCTAGAAGGTAAATAATCAAAGTGGTTCTCACAGGAGGCGCTCCATCGCAGAATTCTACGACTGCTCGGCCAATTAAGTTACCCTATTAAGAGAACCAAATGTGTCCCAGAGTGAGTTAAACTATCTTAATCTTTACTACTTTATGAAAAGTTGGAAGTTGGAAGGGGGAACAAGAACAAGAACAAGAACAAAACGATTGGACAAGACACAAACTAACGTTAGTTACAGAATTATAGTTCTCAAGTCGTCATGAATCACCTGGGAGAGACCAACAAAGTTGAAGCCCTCTTTTAGCTCTTTCATTTTCTTCACCTGTAGTCATAATAACGAACTAGTTGCACGTTAACATCGATGTCAAAATCCAATCGGAACAAAAACCAGCTGGAGAACTATACCACCTTGTTGCAAACAATTTGGGACTGCCAAACATAAAACAGAAACATCACAACTTGAAAAACTTCTTAGTAGCTCGAGATGATTGAATCATATTGCTCATTATCTAACCTGCTCCTCAAGGGACATAAACCACGAATCCCATCCCCCATTGCCAATTTCTCTGTAGGAAGATGGATGAAGGAATATCAATGCTCGCAGCTCAGTCAATCATGAGAGCAATCTTATAACAAGTTAATATGAACATAATGGCAGCTTATAACAAGTTAGTATATCATGAGAGCAATCTTATAACAAGTTAGTATGAAAATGGATACAGATCTTCGGACAAGCATACATGCAATATCCCTTAGCACCAGAATTATCACTCAAGTACTTTGTAAACTTCCTCATGCCTTTATTTGAGCATTTATCTCCAATACCTGCAATTGAGAGAAAATATCAACCCAAGAAACTTTTAAAACACGACAGGTCACTTTAAATAGCTCCAATTGAACCCTGACCAACATTGCAACTCAATCAAACTCATAAACTTGATGAGATCAGCTGGATAAACCATAAAGAAAAAACAAATCAAGAAGTGGGTTAGAAGCTGAAACCTACAGATTCCAGAAAAACAAAATACAGGGGTGGGGGGGGTCTCAAGTATTCCTCCAATAACAGATATGAATCTCTGTAGACCTAGAATCAAACAACCAGGAACAGTAATTTCCAGAAAACAAATTTCAGCATCCAAACATCCCTCGGAAATACCCTTTCGAGGAAACAAAAATTATCGATACCCAACAATCGATTTCTTCATCCAACAAGTTCAATCGGCAGAATTTAAACACACCCAGTTGATAATAAACATAAAGGAATCATCGGATACAAAAGAAGATAGTTGGATTAAAATAGAAACAGAAAAAGAGGGGAAGAAAGTCAAGAATGGAAGAAGATACATACCGTGGAGCACTATGAAGGGTATGGAATGAGAAATTGGGATGATTATTGAAACGAAAAGGAAGAAGATGATGATGAGCAGTGACGAAAACGCCATTAGTTGGAGAGTGGAAGTAGGAATTTGCAGACAGAAGGAAGATGGGGCGATGAAATTACGGAGTTCCCTCGCACAACATTGGTTGTTGAGAATGAGAAATAACAACGCCAAATTATAAAACCAATCAAATCACCAGTTTTGTTTCAACTCCTGTAAAATTCTCGAAATCTTTATTTTTATTTTTATTTTGAAATTATAGGCTCCCCAAAGATAGGGACTCCGATCATCCATTTAACGAGACACGAGGGAGGAATTGGAGGGAGAAAATAAAATTCATTTTCTTAAAATTGAGTGGTTGTATTGGTTGTAACTAAATTATCTAATCACAATTTATACGTATGATATTATATTAAAATTTCATTTGTAGGTGTGTCGGAATAATTCTATACAATACCGACACTCGTCCATCTAGTATACATTTCTCAGTTTGTTTGTTTTGAGCTAAACAGTCATAAAATTTAGGGGAGGAATCATATCAGACATCTTCAAACTGTACTAGTAAATGCGACTAGTTGTCAAATTCTCTCTCTCTTGAAAGTTATATGTTATTTAAGAGGTTGTGTTGCCTTTTGCTTATAGTTATGTAAGGCTGGTTTCAATTTTCTTTCATTCTCATGTCAAACTCATTTTAAAAAATCTCTTTACTCCCATTTTCTAAAATCTTATTTTCAAAACGGTACTAGAAGCTTGAGCATACATTGTCCAACCATAGGTGACGCAAATCTAAATTGGCTTGACTAACTCGGTGTTGAGGGTGAGTGTCGCACAATCGCAAAAGTCCGCTATTAAAAAAAGTGTGATTGTAACAAGTGATATCAATGCACCTTAAATTTTCAAGTTTAACGTTGGTAGAAGTTTAAAGTTCATTTCCAAAAATAATAATAATAATAATAATATAAGTATAGTCCATAACTTATTATTTTTGTGTCTATTTGGTCTTTGAACAAGTCGATAAACTTCGAGTCATTAACATATTAAAATAAATTAAAATTAAATCCATCCATTAATCAAAAAAATGAAATTGATTTATAATTCAACCTTAAATTTTTAATTCATTGTCTATTTATAAATTTTAGATGAAAATGACATTTAAACTTCGAAAAAAAAATGTAAAAATTAAACTTCCAAACCAAAAAACAGAGGTTTTTAGATCAAAGCATCTCCTACACGCTTCCCCTCCATAGCCAGAGCTTCCATGAGACATTGTTCTGTTAAGCTCAGAAGCTTATCTCGTTCCTCACAGAGGTTTTGAAGTTTGAGTCGCTGTTCTTCAATCTTCTCTTCCATTTCTGCAACCATCCCTTCACCCACCTCTTTCCCTTTCCCTCCAAAGAACCCCATTGCTATCTTCTTCCACCCTTCGAACGCGAACCCCACTTCAAACCCAGCCAGCTCAATCGCCCTGATCCCTATCAACCATGAAACTAGACCCTCCCCCGTCATCTTCTCGAACTCCGTTCTCGACATGTCGTCCATCACTTTGCAGAACAAGTTCCACACAATCGTCTTCACTTTGATGCTAATATTTGACCTCTCTGCAATTCCATTCAACATGGCGGTCATAATAGTTTTGAATTTTGAGGTCATAATATGATACCGGTGAAAGTTGAATCATATAATACCTGAGACATCACCATGTTTGCCGAAAACTGCAGTGAATGTTCCAACCAGTTTCTCGGAGATCAAGTATCGGCTGCCGGCGCGCACCGTCGGAGTGTCCCTGTCGAAACCTTCAAAAGGGTTGCCGCCATCCTCTCCAAGTTCGAGTCTTTCTAAGAGATAATAAAGGGGTTTCTCAAGATATGAAAAGTAGTTTGAATATTTGTCTTCCGAGCTGGTTTCGTCGTCGTCGTCGTCGCCGCCGGCGTCTTGCAACATTGCGTTGACGAGGCTTTGATACTCAACATCGTCGGATTCAGAGAAAGAATCGAGGATCTGTTGAAGGGTTACTCCAGGCTTTAATATGCTTTCATGGTGATGATCATCTGCTTCGAAGTGTTTATCATTCAATGCCAATGTACCAAATTGAGATGTTATTGATGCTTCTTCTGGCGGCTCTGTTTCACTTGGGATCTGCAGGGGAAATTTAAACAGGGGAATGATGATTCAAAACAGGCGAATGTGAATTAAACTCATGAATTCAATTGAGAAAATCACGAACCTGATGATCATAGATGACGCAACCAACATGGGCGACAAATCTACAGATTTTACACCA